AAATTTTTATGACATTTTATGCCTTACTATACTATTATGTTTAATGCCTTACTATACTATGACATTTTTATGACATATTATGCCTTACCATAATATGACATTTTTTTGACATTTTATACCTTACTATACTATGACTTTTTTGACGTTTTTATGCCTTACTATATTATGACGTTTTTGTGCCTTACTATTTTATGACATTTTATGCCTTACTATACTATGACGTTTTTTTGACATTTTATGCCTTACTATACTATGACTTTTTTGACGTTTTTATGCCTTAATATACTATGACTTTTTTTTTTGACATTTTATGCCTTACCATAATATGACATTTTTTTTCATGTTCATATGCCTTACTATATTATGACGTTTTTGTGCCTTACTATATTATGATATTTTATGCCTTACTATACTATGACTTTTTTGACGTTTTTATGCCTTACTATACTATGACGTTTTTATGCCTTAATACACTATGACATTTTTATGAAAAATTATGCCTTACCATACAATGACATTTTTATGACATTTTATGCCTTACTATACTATGACATTTTTATGACATTTTATGCCTTTCTATACTATTATGTTTAATGCCTTACTATACTATGACATTTTTATGACATATTATGCCTTACCATAATATGACTTTTTTTTTGACATTTTATGCCTTACTATACTATGACTTTTTTGACGTTTTTATGCCTTACTATATTATGACGGTTTTGTGCCTTACTATATTATGACATTTTATGCCTTACTATACTATGACGTTTTTATGCCTTAATATACTATGACATTTTTATGACATTTTATGCCTTACTATACTATGACATTTTTATGACATTTTATGCCTTAATATACTATGACTTTTTTATGCCTTTTTATGCCTTACTATACTATGACGTTTTTATGCCTTAATATACTATGACATTTTTATGACATTTTATGCCTTACTATACTATGACATTTTTATGACATTTTATGCCTTACTATACTATGACGTTTTTATGCCTTAATATACTATGACATTTTTATGACATATTATGCCTTACTATACTATGACATTTTTATGACATTTTATGCCTTAATATACTATGACTTTCTTTTCATGTTTTTATGCCTTACTATACTGACAGTTTTATGCCTTACTTTATTATGACATTTTATGCCTTACTATAGTAAGGCATAAAATGTCATAATAAAGTAAGGCATAAAACTGTCAGTATAGTAAGGCATAAATATGTAAAAAAAAAACTCGTAAAGTAAGGCATAAAACTGTCAGTATAGTAAGGCATAAATATGTAAAAAAAAAACTCGTAAAGTAAGGCATAAAACTGTCAGTATAGTAAGGCATAAATATGTAAAAAAAAAACTCGTAAAGTAAGGCATAAAACTGTCAGTATAGTAAGGCATAAATATGTAAAAAAAAAACTCGTAAAGTAAGGCATAAAACTGTCAGTATAGTAAGGCATAAATATGTAAAAAAAAAACTCGTAAAGTAAGGCATAAAACTGTCAGTATAGTAAGGCATAAATATGTAAAAAAAAAACTCGTAAAGTAAGGCATAAAACTGTCAGTATAGTAAGGCATAAATATGTAAAAAAAAAACTCGTAAAGTAAGGCATAAAACTGTCAGTATAGTAAGGCATAAATATGTAAAAAAAAAACTCGTAAAGTAAGGCATAAAACTGTCAGTATAGTAAGGCATAAATATGTAAAAAAAAAACTCGTAAAGTAAGGCATAAAACTGTCAGTATAGTAAGGCATAAATATGTAAAAAAAAAACTCGTAAAGTAAGGCATAAAACTGTCAGTATAGTAAGGCATAAATATGTAAAAAAAAAACTCGTAAAGTAAGGCATAAAACTGTCAGTATAGTAAGGCATAAATATGTAAAAAAAAAACTCGTAAAGTAAGGCATAAAACTGTCAGTATAGTAAGGCATAAATATGTAAAAAAAAAACTCGTAAAGTAAGGCATAAAACTGTCAGTATAGTAAGGCATAAATATGTAAAAAAAAAACTCGTAAAGTAAGGCATAAAACTGTCAGTATAGTAAGGCATAAATATGTAAAAAAAAAACTCGTAAAGTAAGGCATAAAACTGTCAGTATAGTAAGGCATAAATATGTAAAAAAAAAACTCGTAAAGTAAGGCATAAAACTGTCAGTATAGTAAGGCATAAATATGTAAAAAAAAAACTCGTAAAGTAAGGCATAAAACTGTCAGTATAGTAAGGCATAAATATGTAAAAAAAAAACTCGTAAAGTAAGGCATAAAACTGTCAGTATAGTAAGGCATAAATATGTAAAAAAAAAACTCGTAAAGTAAGGCATAAAACTGTCAGTATAGTAAGGCATAAATATGTAAAAAAAAAACTCGTAAAGTAAGGCATAAAACTGTCAGTATAGTAAGGCATAAATATGTAAAAAAAAAACTCGTAAAGTAAGGCATAAAACTGTCAGTATAGTAAGGCATAAATATGTAAAAAAAAAACTCGTAAAGTAAGGCATAAAACTGTCAGTATAGTAAGGCATAAAATGTCACAAAAATGTCACATTATGGTAAGGCATAAAAACGTCATAGTATAGTAAAGCAAAAAAAGTCATAATATAATAAAGCACAAAAACGTCATAATATAGTAAGGCACAAAAACGTCATAATATAGTAAGGCATAAATATGTAAAAAAAAAAAACTCGTAAAGTAAGGCATAAAAATGTCATAGTATAGTAAGGCATAAAATGTCACAAAAATGTCACATTATGGTAAGGCATAAAAACGTCTTAGTATAGTAAGGCATAAATACGTTAAAAAAAAAGTCATAGTATAGTAAGGCATAAAATGTCAAAAAAAATGTCATATTATGGAAAGGCATAATATGTCATAAAAATGTCATAGTATAGTAAGGCATTAAACATAATAGTATATATAGTAAGGCATAAAATGTCATAAAAACGTCATAGTATAGTAAGGCATATAAACATGAAAAAAAATGACATATTAATGTAAGGCATAAAATGTCATAAAAATGTCATAGTATAGTAAGGCATAAAATGTCATAAAAATGTCATATTATGGTGAGGCATAATTTGTCATAAAAATGTCATAGTATATTAAGGCATAAAAACGTCATAGTATAGTAAGGCATAAAATGTCATAATATAGTAAGGCACAAAAACGTCATAATATAGTAAGGCATAAAAACATCAAAAAAGTCATAGTATAGTAAGGCATAAAATATAATATAGTAAGGCACAAAAACGTCATAATATAGTAAGGCATAAAAACGTCAAAAAAGTCATAGTATAGTAAGGCATAAAATGTAAAAAAAAAAGTCATATTATGGTAAGGCATAATATGTCATAAAAATGTCATAGTATAGTAAGGCATATGAACATGAAAAAAAAATGTCATATTATGGTAAGGCATAAAATGTCATAAAAATGTCATAATATGGTGAGGCATAATTTGTCATAAAAATGTCATATTATGGTAAGGCATAAAATGTCATAAAAATGTCATATTATGGTGAGGCATAATTTGTCATAAAAATGTCATAGTATAGTAAGGCATAAAAACGTCAAAAAAGTCATAGTATAGTAAGGCATAAAATGTAAAAAAAAAAGTCATATTATGGTAAGGCATAATATGTCATAAAAATGTCATAGTATAGTAAGGCATATGAACATGAAAAAAAAATGTCATATTATGGTAAGGCATAAAATGTCATAAAAATGTCATATTATGGTGAGGCATAATTTGTCATAAAAATGTCATATTATGGTAAGGCATAAAATGTCATAAAAATGTCATATTATGGTGAGGCATAATTTGTCATAAAAATGTCATAGTATAGTAAGGCATAAAAACGTCAAATAAGTCATAGTATAGTAAGGCATAAAATGTCAAAAAAACGTCATAGTATAGTAAGGCATTAAACATAATAGTATAGTAAGGCATAAAATGTCATATGTCATTTTATGCCTTACTATACTATGACGTTTTTATGACAAATTATGCCTCACCACAATATGACATTTTTTTTCATGTTTATATGCCTTACTATACTATGACAGTTTTATGCCTTACTTTCTTATGACATTTTATGGCTTATCATAATATGAAATTTTTGACATTTTATGCCTTACTATACTATTATGTTTAATGCCTTACTATACTATGATATTTTTATGACATATTATGCCTTTCCATAATATGACATTTTTTTTTTACATTTTATGCCTTACTATACTATGACTTTTTTGACGTTTTTATGCCTTATTATATTATGACGTTTTTGTGCCTTACTATATTATGACATTTTATGCCTTACTATACTATGACGTTTTTATGCCTTAATATACTATGACATTTTTATGACAAATTATGCCTTACTATACTATGACTTTTTTGACGTTTTTATGCCTTATTATATTATGACGTTTTTGTGCCTTACTATATTATGACATTTTATGCCTTACTATACTATGATGTTTTTATGCCTTAATATACTATTATGTTTAATGCCTTACTATACTATGATATTTTTATGACATATTATGCCTTTCCATAATATGACATTTTTTTTTGACATTTTATGCCTTACTATACTATGATGTTTTTATGCCTTAATATACTATTATGTTTAATGCCTTACTATACTATGACTTTTTTAACGTATTTATGCCTTACCATAATGTGACATTTTTATGACATTTTATGCCTTACTATACTATGACATTTTTATGCCTTACTTTACAAGTTTTTTTTTTACATATTTATGCCTTACTACATTATGACATTTTATGCCTTACTATATATAATCTTCCATAACCACTTAATGATGGTTATTCAACCAGTTTTCCTTTACTGTTTCTCTCCATCTAAAAATTTTTGTGATCAAAAATAAAGAACTCCAAGAAGCTTGTGAAAGTGTATTGAATGTAGCATCAGACCAGCACAGACTAATTCTGTCTCTTCTTTTTGTCTCCTCCACCAGGGCCTCAAGGGAGAAGTGGGCATCTCTGGGGAACAGGGCATCCCAGGACCTCCGGTATGCTATTTTATTGGTTTCACACAGTATCATCTTGGATTGACAGAACCCAGTGTTCTAACAATATTAGTGTGCTAGGACTTGTCCATGGTTAAAGGTCAGTTTCTTTCTCACCACACTGTTCTCTGCTTCCTTGTAAGGGTCCGATGGGCCTGAGGGGTTATCCTGGAATGATGGGTCCTAAAGGAGAGGCAGTGAGTACCACTTTTGTTTTTTTTCACATTCACATATAACTTTTTTGTCCTTTTTCTCTTTGGGTACAAGGCTGTTCTCGTTCTTAGATGAGCACCAAGGAGGCACAGCCAGACCTGCCCCCACTATACAAACATCATCCATTACCAGCAATGGGGACATATGGAAATGATGCTAACACAAATCTCTCCCCTCCTCTAATGAGTTGGGGTTGTCTGGGTCCACGGTGCCTCCATCTGTAGTTAATGATCCGCTATAGCCATCCGTCTTACTGTTAACATTAGCCGCGTTAGCCAAGTTAGCGCCCCGGCTTAGTGCCAAAGCAAGAGTGGCTGGCTCTCTGTGTAGTTCCTATTAGTGAAGTGAGTTAAGTGCTAATTACCCCTTTATCACAATGAATAGTAGGCTACCGTGACTTAGCATCCTCCCTGATCTTAAGTGATTGATGGCACTTTTTTGTTTTCCCATAGGGTCCTAGTGGTTACAAGGGCATCAACGGACCTGTAGGAATTCCTGGGCCTCCCGTAAGAACGCACACACACCATCACACACAGACAGACTTTATTTGACTTTATTAGACTATATAGACTTTATTAATAGAAAAACAAGTTCCTACAGTACAGTTCAGGTACTCAAAGTCTCTCTTTGTTGTTTGCAGGGTGAGGAGGGACCTCAGGGACCACCTGGAGAAGCAGGAGACAAGGGAGACAAAGTAGGTGACTCTCCAAGTGTTTTCCCTTGAAGTTTACTGCCAAAGCAGTGGGGCAAGACAAAAAAAAAGTGAAACATTTCTCAGAAATGGAATGGGGACAGTGATTCTGATGTGCTTTGTGAAAACACTGATGTTGATATGCTCATCTTCTGCAGGGCAGCAGAGGTATCCAAGGCCCACAGGGTGCGGTTGGCAAAAAGGGAGAAAATGTGAGTGATTGTACTTTAGCATGTGTGCTACACAGAGTCGTTTTGAGAGAGTGTGCCAAATGAAGTCCACTGACTCATCTGCCTGCTTTTTCAGGGTCTGCCGGGTATTGATGGAAAAGATGGCACACCTGGTATTCCTGGAATCAAGGTAAGGGTTGCTAGTTGCGATAATAATGAGTAACTTCAATTTCAGTAAAAGATGGCATTTTATTCTTATTCCGTTCTCTTTTTCTGCAGGGCAGCCCCGGCCAGGCTGGGATGCCTGGTTCCCCTGGTCCTCAGGGAACAGCTGTGAGTGATCCTTCAGTGTAATGTTTGGGGGGTATGATTGTCTGAGGGTTTTTCTGCAAGGCCACTAAAGGCACATGCAAATAAGCCCATCTGTAAATGCCTATTGTCACTCAGACCACGTAGGGGGTCAATCTGTTCTCCTCCTCAATTCAACTAAGCCAGAACACAGAGAGAGGAAACCAGCGTGAAGCAGCCTGTAAATTTTGGTATGTTTTGTTCTCTGGGCAGTCATCCAGGTTAACAGTGACCCTGTGACCCATGCTGTTTTAGAATTTAAACCACCTTGAAATAGCATTCTCTATCCCACCGCGAGTGATTTATCACAATCAGACCAGTGGGTATACTTGTGTGTATGTGTGTGTTTTTGTGTGCGCGTCATTCTGACTAAGGGGTAATGGAGCATGAGATGCACACTTTGCTGTGTGGTCATTGCAGTGACACTAACACTGCTGCAAACTCCCTCACCATAACTTAGCCTGCTTTATGCCCCACTGTGATATACCATCTCACACACACACACACACAAAATCACTGTAAGGAAACCTGCTACAGGCCGGTATATGGCAATGGCCGATACCGCATCGCAGCCTATTTTCATTATTATTATATAAGGCATCAGCTTTATTACTACCTGCTACCGGCAGCCACATTCTAATATCCACATCCATTACCCAACAGCATTTTCAAGTTCACTCTCTGTATTTCAAACATATGAAATACTCTGTACACCACACGGTCAGAATACAAGATACAGATATAATCAGTTTTAAGAGATTTCTGTGGCTTTTATCGGATAGTGTGGAGAAATGTGCAGCAATGGTCTTCAGCTGGAATCAAACCATGGATGTTGCAACTAAATGGTTTTCACCTTTACTTCTAGGCAGCCACAATACACAAGATACCAATGTAACTTAGATTTTCTCTGATTTTAGTTTGTTGATTCTCTTTGTAGGGATTGCCTGGCAGTCCTGGGGCTAAAGGTGGACCTGGGGCTAAGGTAAGCCTTTTTTCTACCAACTCATATGATATGATTTTATATTGACCTGTACTGTTTTTTAAATCATTTTTCTGACTTTCATGTTTTTTAAAACGTAAATCTTCTCTTATCTTTCTCCATGTTAGGGCGAGCCTGGACCTAGAGGTCACGTTGGCATGCCTGGGGCCCCTGGACCTCTGGTAAACATATACACAACATTTCATGCATTTTTACTGTATATTGTGCAGCAGGGTGAATAATCGTACTTTTGCATTCTCCTAGGGTGAACCTGGTCTTCCTGGTGAGGCTGGTATGGAAGGAGTCCCTGGACCCAAGGTACAAATCACAAATTATTACAGTAAAACACTAACAACAGCTGCTTAAAACCATATTTACTCATCTTACCTGACCTGTGCAGGGTGACAGAGGACAGCGGGGAGAAGTTGGGCCACAGGGAATAGTCGGCAAGCCTGTAAGTCACACTGTGTCATTATATTACAATGTCTTTCAAATTAATTTAAAATGATTTCAGGCTGTACTTCTAATACTATTTCTATCATCACCTAACAGGGAGGCAAAGGAGAGAGAGGGCCCATTGGTATCCCAGGTGCCCAGGGCCTTAGTGGAACCAAGGGAGACAAGGTATGTGTGTGTGCCTGTGTGCATGAACAAATACATATTTTTCTATGTGAGACATGCATCATGGGTCTATATTCAAACACACTTCATAATAATACAGTTACACAGACTTGTCCATTGGGGGCAGTGTTTACCCATGAATAAAAGTCCCATAAATCCACAGTAAATCACTGAATGAGGCAAGTAAAATAAATAAGTAATATAAATGATAATCTAAGCATCCTCATCTTCTATGTTTTAGAAACGAGACAACATCTTTCTTACTTTGTGATCTCTGGTGTCACTGCCTTAAAGCAACATTTAGGATTTTATAATTGAGATTTCCTCCCTTCTACATGTTCTTGAACCATCTTTCTTTCCAGGGCTTCCAAGGCAAAGTCGGGTCAAAGGGAGATGTCGTGAGTAGTAATTTTGCTTTTTTTAAACTTGGATTGTGTGAAACCTCATATACCAGCTCCATGCTGACAAATATATTTCTCTATTCATCTTTCTCATCTTTTCCTCTCTTTGTCACTTTTAGGGTGACCCTGGTGTTGAGGGATTGGCTGGCGAGAAAGGTGAAAAGGTAAAAATCAAACCCTAAACTGTTTCAAACTTTTTGTTACAAAGAACCACTATAGTCTCTGAATGCACAAAACACTTAAACTCTCCAGCTTTAGATAAGGAGGTTTAAACATCTGGTTCTAAAGGCAGCAGAGCAGAGTGATATATAGCAGAAAATATTATAACCATACAGAAGTTAAGAAGAAGAGGAAGTCTGCTTTTGAATTTGCATACAAATCCCCATAATAATCCAGATGGCGAATGAGCTATTTACACGACAGTGAGCCAACGACGCATGTTGGCTCTTTGAAGCCACATTTTTAGACATTCATTTACAATATTCATTCTTGAATTATTGCTCAATGAGTGTCTCTGAAGCTGAAATGATAAGCGATGTGATGGATGAATGTCTGTCTTTCTTTGCCGTGACAGGGTTTGTCTGGTGAACCCGGGCCCAAAGGACAGGTGAGGATCGAACCGTTTGGAATCTGACGGCTGTGCTATAACAATGCTAGATAGGATCTTTCTTTTTTTACGTTGCCCATCATCTATTTTCATTGGCCTCTTTCTTTACTCTCCATAAATTCATCCTGCTCTATGGCTCCTCTCTTCACAGCAAGGAATTAGGGGTGACACTGGACACAATGGACCCACTGGAGACCCTGGTAAACCAGGAGACCAAGGACCATCAGGGCTGCCTGGTCCTAGGGGACTCAATGGAGAGCGAGGAGTACCCGGCATGCCGGGCATTCAGGGTTCATCAGTAAGTCCAGTTCACTTTTGGTCACAACATTTATGTTTCATGGAATATATGTTGTTTGTTGTGTCTTTGTGATGCTAAGTCTCCTCTCCTCTCCAGGGACGTGATGCATCCGACCAGCATATCATCGAAGTGGTGTTGAAGATGTTGCAGGGTCAGCGTCTAGACCTGAATATTCACCTTTGATGTCCATAGGGGAGATTGGATTAGCTCATTCACCAAAACTGCTTTCATCTCCTGAGCAATCAGTTTCCCATCATGAGAGGTAATTTAATCAAAATGCTGTCTCCTGTGTTACAGAGAGGCTAGCAGCAGTGGCGGTGAGCGCCAAGAGGGCTGTGCTCGGTGGTGCAGGTGTAATGGGACCTCCCGGGCCTCCTGGACCTCCAGGATCACCTGGCCCCCAGGGGCCTCATGGCTTACCTGGTGCCCGTGGCATTCCTGGCATCATTGGAGCACCAGGACAGATTGGAAACACCGGCCTTAAAGGTAAAAAAAATAGACAGTGTGGCATTGATACTTTTGCATATGATGAATACACGGTTGTAAGTAAGACTTTTTAAGGGCACATCTGATGTCTTTACATCTTTTGCATTCCCAAGGAAAGAGAGGGGCAAAGGGAGATAGAGGAGATCCTGGTAAACCTCACCCAGGACCACCAGGACCCCCAGGAATACAAGGTAAGAGCTAAAGCCTCCCTGAGCCACACACACACTGTAAGATCTATGCTCTTACTGAAAACATTAAACAGTCTTAATATGCGATTCTGACCAGTGGGTAAGAAGAGGAGGGGTACAATAAGTAACTGAAGGACTTGACATTATAGTGCTTACCTCAGGAGAGCCTGCTCAAAGGCATTTTAAAAGCATCATTAACTCCAGTCATTTAACAGATGCTCTTGAATGAGAATGTAATAGGATTGCAAAAGTACACACTAATTCAAACTGTGGGGAATGCACTCACACTCCCCTGTGAACACATACACACACCTTAAATGTATGCACACATACAGTACACATGTGTAACTGAACTCTAAAATGGGGTGTCAAGAGATTTGGATGAACATCAATGTAATTAAGTCATGTTAACCCCTGGAAATCTGTTTAAGTCCTTTCTTGATGTGGAACTTTCTCCCTCCACAGGTCCTCCTGGTGTAGATGGTGTGGCCCGGGATGGCAGGCCCGGAGAGAGAGGACCTCAGGGATCAGCCGGAGAGGCCGGTCGCCCCGGTAAGGCCGGTGCACCGGGTCTGCCAGGCTTCTGCGAGGCAGCAATGTGTCTGGCCGCATCAGCATACACCTCTCCGAGACTACAGGAAGCGGGAACGATCAAAGGACCCAATGTCTAGAGACCTGTCTCTCCATCAGCAGCTCACAACACCTGGGAGAGAGGAAGAGAGAAAGAGAAGGAAGGAGAGAGACCACTCTTCTCAGTCGGACAACATCAAGAACGAGGGGAGGGGAGGGGAGGGGTGGGGTGGGGTGGGGTGGGGTGGGGTAGGGTGGCGGCAATAATAGTGACTAGATGTATGGCGCCCCCTCCTGAAACTCACAACCTAAAGTTTTGACTGGTGGGACATACTCTGATCTTAATCCCCCACATCACCATGACAACAGCAGCTCACAGCCACCCACAACGTTTTTGAATTCTCTAGTGTTTTTGGATGGTGTCAGTGTCAGTCCCATCAAAATATCCCAGCCCTGTTCCAGCAGTGAGAGAGGAGCAGATTTACATTGCATCTCCTCGTCTCCCACCACAGTATCTCTGAGCTGAGAGGGGCTGAAAACCAAGCGTGGTGAAGGGTGCTTCTCTTTTACACCGAGGTCACTTTAAATGGTTTTATATATATGCAATTTTTTTGTTGGAGAGTGTTTTAAAGTTTAAATGCCCTGTCTGTCTTGCAACATCACACCTTATGCCTTTTAAAAGTGTACAAAAAGGACCAATAAATGATTACAGCCTAATGTCACACTCAGTGCTGTATTGTAAAATGTAGTAGTTTCATCAGTCAGCTTGAGTGAAATCCTTGATTTACCTCATGTGTACATTGCTCCCCCTCCCTCCCTCCCCCCCTTCCCAATCCCCGCTTTCTACCCAAGTCTCATTTTAGAAACTAACGACTAGCTTTATCTCTTCCTCTTGTTGCCTGGCAACAGCATATCCCGATGGGCACTCCCATCTCCCACAATGCAGTGCTGTAAATCTTTGTAAATGTGTGTTGATTATTATGTAGAGAAAAAGGAATGGGTTACGATATGCACCAACAAAAATCCTGTGTTAATGAATTCAGTGAATAATAAAAAGTTCAGACAGAAGTAACGGCTTTTCTCCAAACGAATCAGTTACCAGTCCGAATGTGCCTCCTATGCCACTGTCAACTGTCCACAGGGTGTAACCGATTTAATAACTGATTTATTTTCATCAACAAAAGCTATTTATTGTTCTTTATATAATCATCTGTAAAGAGGGTTTTTGTCTGGCTGTTCAGGTAAACCCAAACAAATAAAAAGGAACCTTTTGTAAAATCCAATGTTCTTCTGTATCATGTGGGGAATGGAAATGAGTCTCTTTAGTGTGGCTCACCTCTTTCAGCTCCTTTCCTTTTCATTTCTCAAATTCCATATCTTTAATCATACCAATTCATGCATGTAAATAAACTCCCATGCTTCTAAAGCTGCAGCTGCTCAGCTTTTGTCAACATTCTTGCAGCACCAAGGGCAAAAAGTTCCACCGCACTAATGAGACTATACATTTCTTGCAATGAAAAACAACCACACTTGTGCAATTCTGCGTTCAAAATGTATGTTTTTTTTCTCAAATGTTTCATAAAACAACATATGTAATGCACATCGGATTTTGCAACAATGACAGTAAAGCGACACATGCACAGGTAGAGTTGATGGATTGCTGAACGGGCCTGCCGGGACACAAGAGGTCAGTGGGCCCTTGGGCCAGAACCTCTGTTTGAAGTGACAGTTAACATTTCTTGTTAGAGAGTCAATCAAACAACCACAAAAGGGGCACAAAACAACCACAAGAGACACAAAAGTCCACAAAGCAATGCAGACCGTCAACAAAGAGACACAAATTGACCATAAAGAAACATTAAACCACAACAAAAATACATTAACCAACCACAAAGAGAGAAAACAACTGCAAAAAGGCACACAACTTTGACTTTACTCTGGATGCTCCTAAGAGGTGGGGGGTCTTTTACATGTTTGTGCCCAGGGGCCCATTGTCTCATAAACCGTCCATCGATGAAAAACAGAATTTGAATAGTGTTACAGCACAGGTTATGATAACCACATGATAAAGCCTCTTTGAAACGCAGTGTTAAGCTTAATATTTCCCATTGGTTAGCTTGTGATTAACAAAAGTCTGACCACGGTTCATAGTTTTAAACTGCCAATTTAGATGGTAAGAGATGGTAATGATTTAAAACTCCAGAGACTTCCGAATATATAAGCGACAAAAACAACATAGAATACCCCAAAATACAGCACCATTTCACACAAAAAAGCCATATGTGATGCTTTTCCAAACATTTTCCTCATTTTTACATGTGATTGTTGGGGCTTGGTGGCCGTACTCAGTGTGTTGTATTACAGTACCTGTGGTGAATAGGCTCAATTATTGCTCATATTTTCTTAAACAAGTGCCTTGTGAAGCAGACAGATGGCTATTACAGCTACTTTGGAATATAAAATGAGATGAGATGCTCTAAATGGCTGCATTTCCTAACAGACTGGAGTTAAAATTACACAAAATGAAGTTTAGCAAAATAATGACAAAAGCCAATATGCTTTCTTATGTAAGCGCAATTTTCTTCTATAAATAATTTGTCTTTTACTGAACATATTATTCCTTTTGAAAGCTTATAGACCTTAGAAAAATATCCCTTTGGCATTTTTTTCTGTTGCCGTATAACATTTGACAGTGAAAAATACGTGGCTAAACATGCGTATGCCTTTTATCAAAAAGTATCAAAAGCCACTATATATATAAATATAAATATATACAAAACAGTCAATCCATCAAAGAGGGTATGAATGCAAGTTTTTGACTTCTGTTGCCACAGAAGTGAAATGCATTTCTAGGGATATTCTCTTACAAGTCAAATTCAAATATGTATCACACCTCAGGCACTGAGACAGAATATTAGAAATGCATGGGATACACTTGGAATGGGATTCTGTGACAAAGGAACAAAGATATGGGAGGTGGAAGCAAAGTGCTACAATAATTGTGTGTATTCTCTTCCTACAGATTTAGAAAATGAAAAGAAGAAAAAACAAAAGGAAAAAAACAAAAACAATGGAGGCCAGAATTAATCAAGGAGAAGAAAATACATATTGTGATTCTTGTCACCTCCCCTGGGTTGTTTGAAAATGTACAAAAGGAGTGAAACACAGTGAGAAAATAAGAGGCAGTAATATAGCAGTGAATTGGCATTCATAGGGAAAAGGAATGGTGCAATAAAAATGTGCTGCTGGTGCGTCTTTGCAGGCCTCAGTTCCAGTGGGGCCTTTAGAACAAAATTGTGGATTTTTGCTCAGAACTATAGTACAAACCTGTGTGGGTACATTTATACAACTCAACAACAGTGGCTGCTCCTTTATGTCATCAAATTCAATAACTTTGGGTCATGGCCTTTGGCTTTGTCTTTTCCATAGTGTCTTTGTTTCAGCCCCCCCACCCGGCCCCTCTCCTCCATCACCTCTTGCCCTCTACCAGGGGCCCTTCATAGGTGGGCCCTTGGGGCTGTATTCTACTTGATGGCTCATACAGTCTCCAGGATTACACCGACCATCCTTTCCCTTTGTACCAGTCTGTCCAGGAGGTCCTGGGATCCCAGGAACGCCCTGCTGGCCAACAGGACCTGGGGGACCCATCTTACCATAGCCAGGAGGGCCTGGGATACCTAAAAGAATAAAGAAAATAGAAGGAATATAATAATTAGTCCTTAACCCTACAGAGGAAATATTCAAAAATAATTTACTTTTTAGCCAAGAATTAGATGAGAATACCAACAAAACTCTGACAACACATGGTGAAATATGCCAAAAGTTGCTCTCATAAAATAACAATTTGACATTGTTTCCCTTGTGTCTTTGTATGGATTTAACAAACAAGGCAAAGCATGTTAATTCATGGCCTTAAGAGGTGCTGGACAGAGCCAGGCTAGCTGTTTCCTCCTCATGGCCTTTATGTGTACAGATGTGACAGCTGTAAAAATAGTCTCATGTAACACTGAGCAAAACAGCTAATAACCAAAATGTGGAACTAATCCTTGGAAGCTTTATTTTAATCCATGTCTAATACAACTTCAATATGTGTCGCCATGTAACACTGCAGCACAAATACAACATATGACACAAGATTAAGATTTTATACAAAAAATTCTATATACCAAGAAAAAGAATGTGTAAAGGTATTATCATGTCTGGTTATCAGGGGAACACGAGGGACACATGAGACAAACGTGTGTGGTTGGTTTTTCAACCAAAAGTACTTGTGAACCCAAATGAAATAAGCTGCTCCAAGTAAAGTGCAGATGCTAATTTGATAATTTAGCAAATGCTATCTGAACTTTGTGATGATTAAGGGATCTGAGATTTTGATTTGGCTGATTACTAGCCTGGTAATTTTAATTAAGACAATTTAGAAATGATGAAGAGTTACTTTCATCATGCTGGCAATTTACAACAACACAAACTTTTTAAGTAATGAGCATCATTTACGTGATATAATGTTAGCCAATACTGCCAGCCAAGGGTTTAGCATCAGGTGCAGCTTGCACTTGTGTGTAAAACATTGTGAATAACAGTCAGTTGTTGCAGATGTAAGTGCCTTAACAAATGCCACAGTTGTTTACTGCAACTGAAATGATTGAAATTACAATTCACATGTGAAATAAATCATAGTGTATTCTCTAAAGGCTGTCCCATGTCACTGATGATTTGCTCAGACTAAATGGCTGCCACTTAGTGGGATACATCACCTGGTGCTCCTGGAGGTCCTACATCTCCCATCTCTCCAATACCCTTGTCTCCCTTTTCTCCGTGTGGTCCTCGTGGTCCTGCAGAAAGAGAGCCACAATTTAAGAGTTTACCCTGAGTTAACAATGACACTTACATCACTGTCATGGTGCTATGAGTAAAAGGTTCACCTGGAGGTCCTTGGGATCCTGGTCGGCCTTGTCTGCCAATCTGTCCTGGGAGGCCAGGAGAACCCGGAAGCCCAGGATTACCTGGAGAACCGTCTTTCCCTGGGGGCCCAGGTCGACCTGGGGATGCCACCATCTCTACTGGCATTTGCATGCGTGACATGTAGTAGGCCATTCTCTCTGGGGAGGGGAAACATGCAATAACAAACAATGATTTCTCAGTGGTAAGAGCTGCGGTGTCCCAGAGGAAAAATGAATAAATTCTTTGAAAGAGAGATAAGCAT